CTATCTAAGGTCATACATACTAAATACCCCGTTGGATTCGATTTCACATCTTTACATTTCCTGGAGGCGATATTGACGGTTGACGTTGACGTTTATTTTTATTTTTATTTTTTTTTTCTTTATTGCTCCCTCCCTTTCCCTCTCAAATGAATGCCATTGGCACTGGACTTCCCGTCCAGTTGCTCAATTCGTACGTTTGATGTTGCCCACGCACCCCTTCGGACTCATTAATGATTCCGTATGGATAGTTTGGAGATATCCTCAAACGCCAGAGACGTACCTACGCATCAATGGAGTCCGAAGTTTCCTCGATTGAGAGCTGTGGGTTGGATCAAAATGCATTCATACAATTTCTAATTTTTCCCTAAAATTATTTTGCTCTCATCGGCCCCTTTGGTGGAGTGATATATACCACCTTGCAGTTCTAGGGCCATCACATGAATTCTCCAGATGCTTTGGGAAAATGTGAAATTTAGAATATGAGATATTCACAACCAGCAACATTTCTCCTGAGAGCAAGAGTCCGCAATCATCCGGGCCATTTTTCCGGCAACGTTGTGGTTTTGTTTGGAGAAAGTATGACGTGGATTAGGGGGCTATTTAATGGTGACGCAGAGGCTGGATTCACACGTTGCGGTAAAGTCTCTATATCTGGATGAAATTTCCGGCTCATCGGACTGTTAATTATTCAGCCATACAAAATCAATATCAATTAATGGGTCTCAGCTTCACGTAGCCGTCGTTTTGAAGTGGCCCGTCCTCTCGTTTCAAGGCATACCTAGTAAATACACTCTACCAACTCCAACCTTGATTTTCTTCCGGTCCATGAGACGTATCCCCCCCCTCGACTGCTGTTCTTCAAGGTTCTCCTTGTTTTAGCCGTTTGGGGCCATTTTCCACAGTCCAATTTTCCTTCCGTCGTTGTTCGTTTGTCGATCTGTATATCTCATGTTTGGGTCTTCCACGCGGCATGTAGGGCGTAACCATGGGTCAACAGAAGCCATTTAAGTGGTAACTGGAACTAGAAACTAGGATCGACAAGCCATCAAGCCATCAAGCCATCCCCACATCGTAAATCGTTCCGCATAAAACACCTAGGACTTCGTCATCATTGAAATCGCAACAATCTAACAAGCTGCTCATAAATCGTGGCTCGACAGTCGAAATAGAATTTCGCAATCCAATAAAGGACTGCTAGTGATAGTGTAAAAAAAAAAAAAAAAAAAAAAAAAAAAAAAAAAAGAAGAGAGAATGAGGGATAGTCATCCTTTGTTTTCCTACCAACATGTTTTGCAAAAAGAAATGGCAAATTTTGATAGGGTCTCGTGGTTAGAGGCGCAGCTCCGCAAATCATATAAGTACACACAAACACAATACTCGTATAAACTAGCCCAGGGCTCCGAGTCCACCAACCAAACTATTTTGATCGTCGTTCCATTTGATCTGGTAATAGTTTAAATAAGAAGCGGTGGGTGTGCTGGTTGCCAATACCGTGTTTGGATCTCCTTGGCTGAGACTGGTAGCCAATTAATAGTTCCTGCATATGTTAGAATTCTTGGCTTGTTAATTCGGCCTCATTAACAACAGCTCTATGAAATAAAGCATATGGCAACACCGTTTGTTCTGGAAGCATGCAACGTTGGCAGACTTGCAGCCTGGTCAATCGGGGCTGAAGAATATGCACCGCTAACCTAGCCTTGAGAGCTTTACGGGTGGAATATTCCCACTTCCCCCCCGCAGACCTGGGCGGATTTATCCAGAGCGTCGCACCAACCCCTCGAGCGCCTTGAACGCTACTCAACCGGTTCACAGCACAGTTGGCCATCCAATAAACGGAGAGGTTCACCCAAAGCATCTGAGTGAAGGGAGCAGCAGGCGGAGAGGGTTGGTTGCATCTTGCTCACATGTGCCTCGACTCCTGAGATATTTAGCTGTGCTAATTTTTTTCTTGTCTAACATAGCTTGTCCCAACTTTATACGCCCTCAAAAGATAAAATAATTTTTCCTTCAGTTCAAAGTTAGGAAGTCTCTTCCCGCACATTCATTTGTGTTTGGAGGGTGTGAGGGGAAGCAGTCCATAAATGAAACTTTTCCACGAATCATGCCATTTCATGTTAGTTAGGTGGAAGAAATGTATCAAATTCGTGGTGGCCCCACCTGAGGGAGCGAGATGCCACACTGGGATTTTCACTCAACCCCGTATTTGTGCAAGGAAGCATTCACTGTGCAGCATGGAACAACGAACAGGAAAGAGGATACCCACGACGAGCCTTGATAAAAATATGCCTCGATTCGGAAAATTGGACGAGGATGTTTCCCCACATTCCATGACTGCAGATCACTCAAGATAACGGGCTGCTGGAGATTTTTTGGGACCTCGTGTTGAATGTTTCATGATCCATTTAGAGAAACATACTGCTACACAATGGAAGACATTTTCTGAGAGAGGTGGTGTCTAATAGAAACCTAATCGATTGGAGCTCCATGAATGAGGTATAAAAGGGGAGTGTAATCCATTTGCAGCATCCTCATTTATATTCGTATCATCATTATTCCCGCTGAAGAGCCATCCCATCTAAGACCAAAGCTTACCTGAGTCCAAAAGAAACATCCACTCCAATAAAGCAAGAAGAAAAAATGAAGCTCAATCTCTTTCTCATCTGTCTCATCTCAGGCCTTACCCCTATCTTCGGGGCTCCTGAGTTGGAGAAAAAGAATGCCGGTAAGCCCCGGCAGAATCAAAACTCCCCGTGCAGCATTTCATTCGGATAACGTGTTTTATTCACAACAGCAAATGCGCTAGATACATCCCCAGCCACCAAAGGCACAGGCGACGTCCTCGCTGATGGTATGTGTTGCAATAATTTTTTTTTTTTTTTTTTTTTTTTTTGGTCGTAGCTCCCTCCTCCCTCGCACCCCCTCTCACGTTTACATTCAACGAGGATTGCGTGGAACTGACATCTCTTTCTTCGGTCTGGTTAGCTTGCTATTGGTGCGAAGGAGTGTGCGCTGGTTATTACTGCTGCGACCCACGTCCGAACTGCTTCTATTCCTCAGGCAGTTGCTGGTGTTCTGTCTAGTTTGGCAATTCTCCTGATTACCAACCGTGGAAAAGCCGCACTAGGATGCATGGGAGCGATTCCATGTGATATAGGGGAAGTTGGAATGGCTTTATGTTAGGCGGTGGAATTCTAGAGAGAGAACACTGAACATTTCTTTATGCCGTATTTGAAGTGCCTGATGTCGCTCGTTAGTCTTGGAGGAAAAGTTGATTGAAACGGATAGCATGAAAACCGCATGTAAAGAAACCCAGCAGAGGTTTCGTGTTTTCAGTCACTGAGAAATGAAGGCTGTGAATACACTTTTGAGTCATCCAAGTGAACAAATCATTTTCGGGAATTTATCATCACAATTACTAGTGAAATACCGCAAGCTTAGCAACTAAGTGAAAAACAACTCCACCCACACACCTGGCAGGTAGCCTGAGCCTACGGCTACATTGAATACTCTTCTTGGGCATTCTGACAAACTTGGTGAGCACAGATCGTGACATCTCTGCAAATGACATGTTCAACCCTCGTTAACTTTAATCCGCTTGCAAGGCAAAGGAATCAAATGTAAGGTCTTGCAGTGTTTTGAACTCAAAACGCGTCTCAGAGCTCTCTGGTCATCCACTCCGTCTGACAGCCTTGAAAGGGTCGCCAGCCCTCGAAGCGAGCTCCAACAGACAGACATTCGTCTGATCTTTGGGCGGCTCTATTGTTGGCAATATATGTTGAGCTACAAAGCGTGGAAGTCGTTAGAAAATATACAAACCTTGAGTAGAGGTCGCACTTGAGGGTAAAGACTCTTTAGGCTTTAGCTAGACGACAGGACTTGGACCTCGCATGCTGAATAGTCACGAGTGTGATGCATGGATGAACAGGATTAAATGCTGCCTTTATGCGACACCTAAATCGTTTCCTTTGAGGTGCATATGTTGTCTGTTTCGGTTCGTATCTCCATGGATACCTTCAGGACTGGTAAGAGATGTGCCGGGCTGTCATATGAAAGACCATGGCCAACAACTGCTCATGACCACCAAGTGTAGTAGTAGGTGTGGTCGTCGTGCCAACAACCACAACAACAATGGGTGGGTACATTGGTCGAGATCGCATTTCTCCTCTTATTATATCCAGATAGTTGGCAAGAAAGAAAGCATCCAAACAAAGCCTTAAATCTGAACAACATACTGCTTGTTCTGTCCATGTATATGCAAACTTTCCTCCGGTGACCCCACCCAGATTGTTTAGTAAATATATCCATTGAGAACTCTCGAGCTGGTCGACCCGCGGAAGGAGAGTTTTAATTCCGTTTGTCCACATTTAATGTGTTTCCCATTTTAAAGAAAACTTGGACATTCCCGAAAGCTGTTGCTCTGGTTTCAAGTTCAAGTTCATGTTGTTGAAGCTGTTGAAGGTTGATGTTTTTCCTGCTTCGGAAAATCTTAAATTAGCCCTGCATTAGCGGCCGCGCTAAAGCCTGTTTAGGTACTAGTGTTGGTGGAAGTTCCTCCTCGCTGACTAACCGCTTACGGCATTCTGCCGAAGCCTCCCCCTTAGTTACCAGCTTATAACCAGTCGCTCACCTCCGTCTGCAACAAACATCCCAATTCTCTCCCTGCCTCTCATTATGCCATTGGTACCTATAAAATAGTGCCGCATAGATTCTCTAGCACCGCTGCGATTTTTTGGTCGCTTACCCTCTCTTGGTCTTGCAATTGTCGCCGGCGACTGCATTGCAACTTATGCACTCATTTGGTTGGGCTCACTTGTTTTGCCAGGAATTCTAGTCTTGTTTCGAACCCGCCTGGTTCCCGCGACTTGTCAAATCAACGTCTGGGTCTCGTTGCACGGCCTAAAGGCGTATCTCGTCCCTTGATATTGCACTGAAATGCAACTTCTTTAGCGTTCAATTTTTACCCACCCGCCGCAGAAACCCCATTCGTTCACACATTCACCATGGATCCGTCACCAGATTCGCCTATTGACGCTCGGTCTTCCTTTGACTCCGTCAGCCGTGAACCGCAACCGACGGATTCGATGGTTACGGTTCCTCTTTCGGACACCCCATACATCCCTAAAGCTCCTGATTCCATTAGTAGTGCCTCCAATATATCTGGTTCTCAAATTGTCGAGAGCCCCCGGGATATTAGTGGGGGAGAATACACAGCTGGAGAAAATGAAAACACTCCCGGACGGCAATCGAAGAGCCGATCAGGGAGCTCAACTTCTTTTTCTTCTTCTTCTGCAAGATCCATATGCAGTAGAGGAAGCAACGGACAGGAATCTCAAGAAGGAAGTGATTGCGTGGATTGGGGAGAGTTGGAGAAAACAGAGGAATTGGAGTCAAAGAGTGAGACCGGTGATGAGGTAAATTAACACATTGGAGAGTTGAACCGCATTATTTCACAGGAGATGTGCTGACTGATATAGTCTACTGCGCTACTTCTTGCGAGGTTAGAACAAGAGAATAACGCACTCGTCGGAAACCCCAAGTCTGGCTCGCATATCCGAAAGGATTCCCGGCGGCCGTCCATTCATCAACTTAGAAAGCTCGTTGACGATCCCTCAAGGTTTTCCCTACGATTTTCTCAGCTCCCAACCCCTCATATGACTGATCTGGACTTTTGGGCTGCACTTGTTGCCGATTACACTCACACAGCTCAGCGGCTGCCAACTTTGACTTCCAACAAGATAAGAGCAGGCGTACCTCCACCGTTAAGAGGGGTGGTTTGGCCAAGCATTGCTGGTGCTATGGATTCAGAACTTTTAGAAGAGTTTGAGAGACTCAGTGGGGAGACCAGTCCCTACGAGGGCCTAATCGGCAAAGATATCGGTAGAAGTTTTCCTAATGTGGATATGTTTCGCGATCCGAATGGAGAGGGGCAACAGATGCTGGGAAAAGTATTGAAGTGTTTCAGCCTTTATGATAGCAAGATAGGATATTGTCAGGGACTGGGGTTTGTTGTCGGGCCTCTTTTGATGCACATGAGCGATGCCGAGGCTTTCTGTGTACTTGTGCGGTAAGTCCTCCTGTTCCCTTTGCTTGGTATTCACCTTGACTAATGCCATCCTTCCATCCACAGCTTAATGGATCATTACGATTTGAGGTCTTGCTTCTTGCCAACTCTCTCTGGCTTACACCTACGGATATATCAGTTCCAGACCCTCCTTTCTCGACATTTACCGGAGCTCCACGCTCATTTGGAAGCCCTGAAAATTGAGCCCGTTTATGTATCGCAATGGTTTTTATCATTCTTCGCGGTTACATGTCCACTTCCAATGCTCCTTCGCATCTATGATGTCTTGCTTTTGGAGGGGGCTTGTGAAACCTTGATGCGTGTCGCGCTTTCGCTCATGCAGCGAAACCAGAAAAAGCTCTTGGCATGCGAAGAATTTGAGGATGTTATGCAACTGTTACTCGCAAGAAACATATGGGATACGTGAGTGTTTAATCTGTTCCTGAGCATGATGACTCCATTCTAATTCCTCTCAATAGATATGGATGCAATGCGGATACTCTTGTTCAGGATTTTGTATCTTTGACCTCCCTTGTCACACGGGAGAGCCTTAAAGAACTTGAAACCAGTTATAGGGAATCACAAGGTACCTCAACCAGTGTCTACTTCCCTCAGATGCAGGCTGTTGCTTCAAGGTTCTTGGGTCGACTCTGGGCGGGATCTGCTTCCTTTAACTCGACTAGGCCCCTTACACTAAATCCCAACGCTCCCGCGTTGGTTTCACGCTCCTCCAGTATTGTACGACGTACCCCATCCAAACAAAGTATGGCCTCCACATTAAATTCCTTTGAATCAACATCCGATGCTAGCACTGCCCCGACTGAGCCTTCGTCAGGCCCTGCTTCCGCTGTTGATTCGACGAAACGTACCACGAAAGTGACAGGAACTTCGAATCCGGAGAGGGACCTACACACCCAAATCGAGGACTTACTTATAGCTTTGACCGACATGCAACGAGAACACGCAGCCTTGGCGAAAGAATTACAAAAAGAAAGGGAGGAGCAGGAGGAAGATCAGCAAACAGCTAGACTAATGCTTGAATGCCTGAAAGAACATCCAAGCGCCGAGCAACATGCAGACCTAATCGCCAAGGCCACCAGTCGTTTTTCTCCAAGAGAATCCCGCCATGTCTCAATTCACCAAACTAAACACCAACTGCGTGAAGAGGTGGTTATGTGGAAGGAGAAGCACGGCGTTGAGTCTTCGAGATGTCACGATCTGAGCAGACTCATTGACGAACAGAATAAGAAGTATTCTCACATGCAAGAGGAGCTTAAAGAAGCAAGGTCCCGACTACAAGATGCGTCTAAAGACAAGCAACGGCTTGAGAAAACCATTCAGGAATTACGCGTGAGGAGAAACGCGCGATCAGATATCCCTCAAGAAACCCAAGGTTCAAACGGAACAGTGGATCGAAATTTGACCGGCCTTCGCGAATTCAAACTTTGTGGAACTGGTTCGATCAACTCTACATTTTCGAAACGAACAAGTAGCCTTGAGGCAGGGGTACTAACGTTTGCCGAAAATTCTCAGGTTTCTCCTGACGACGATCTTGTTCTTGAACTTGTTAATGCCAAAACTTCTGAGGCAGTTGCTCGACAAGAACTCGAAGAGGTGAAAGCAAAACTGGACTCGTTGAGGAAGCTGATCAGCCGCTCGGCAGACAGCTCACCCAACAGATCAGGCCCTATAGGGTTGAGTCGCAGCCTTACACTTAACACGCCTATCCTATCCGGAACGATTTCAAGATATCCCACAGAACCTCCTAAAACACCAACCTTGTCTGCTGGTGCGGGGGGGTTTTTCAGCGGATGGACGAAACGAACCCCTTCTACTGCCTCTGAATTGCGTTAGTTGGATGTCGATTGCATCAGTAGACCTTCTTGAGCCTATCCTTTGCTGTGGGGTAGATATAAATTTCTTTGTTATCGCTCGGTTGGTTTGAGCGGTTTTTGCGAGTTGCCGAAATTCCGAAGCTGATACCGTCCAGCATTTAAAGATTTTCTTTTTGTCCACATTTCGATACATTCTTCTTCCAATATCGCTGAACGGATCTTATCATTGCAGACAACTTTCTGACTAGAGCCATTTGGTAGTTTTAGTACCCCTTTACACACATGTTACACGATCCTTCGAATTCATTTGTTCGGTTCTTGTTCTAATTATTTTCTTTACTTTTCTTTTCTCATCTCACTTTCCATTCTCTACCTTTCTCAACTCCCGTTTTGTCTCTTTTATATATATATTTAGTCTTTCTCTTGTCCCTTCTGACCAACACCATTTCCATCAGTTGCACCATTTTGTAATACGTTTCATCCTTGAATTTCAACGTGTCTACCTATTTTACCAGCTCTACTTTCCTTCCCATGAAACCCTTTTCCCTTTTTCCATCTGACTCCGGATCGGCTACGTTAATTTTGGTCTTCAAACACGCCGCTTTTCCTTTGACACATCTCAATCGTCTCATGCACTATACCTTTTGCTTTCCGCTCCCGTTGCACTCTACAGTTGTGTCATCATATGATATTTGAAAGGGTGAGCATACATTTTCCTCTTTCCCTTTTCACAGTGTTATATATATATATATATATACCCTTGGCATTGACAATTCAATGGATTCTTTTGGTTGGTATTAACGTTTTGCTCTCAGCCTGGTCGGCAATTTGCAGTTCCTCCTTTCTTGGATCCATACATTTCTTCTCTATTGATTCTTTTGGGGGTTTATCAAATTATTTTAGTGTGCGGGTTGGAGAGTTACCAGCTCTGAACATGCCAATACCAGAAGGCGAGTTTCTAGTAACTTGTCTTGTTGCTCTTGTGCTGGGTCATTGCTAGCTAGTGTATATGTCGGAGAAGGTCAATTGATTTGCCGGAAAACCCTCTGTTAATAATATTCTCTATGCGGTCGCTCAAACGGCTACAATGCTGCTATCATAGATAGGTCTTTAACAATCCTGCTGTAGTTTTAGTCGCGGCAACTCAAATGGCACAGGTTGATATTCAGGAATTCAAAAATTCAAATATATAGATAGCATGCGATTAATTTCCGTCGCAAATTCAAAATCCTCCTGTCGATAAACTAAACGGCAAATCCTCCTCCCTAGTCCCCCAATGACTCTCCTCCTTTCCAAGAACCAGCTCCAAGACACCACCTTTCTCAAAGAAATCATGCCCAATCCAATTCCGTCGCCAATCTTTCCCATCCCGCTTCGCGCTCTGGATATAAATCGCACCATATTTAGGGTCAAAGTTGATATTCCGCACATTGGCAACATTACCAGTAAGGTCGTTGTAAATTCGCACCTCTTTAAAGAAAGGGGGTGTGATTAGATACACATCTTGGCCAGCGACAGGGAACAAGCCCATCATCGCTAGCGCTAGGAATGAACCCATCGCCCCGCTGTCATCGTTGCCGGGAATGCCGTTGAGGGAATTGTTAAATTGTGAGGGGATGTATGCGTGGGCGCGCTTTGCGGATAATGCTGGTCGTCCGGCATAGTGGTATTGGTATACCGGGAGGAAAGCTTGTTCGTCGCCCATGTACAGCAGACCGGACTCGTGCAGGAAATTGAGACGGGCAGTGTATGCATCTGGACCGCCTAGGGTGGCTATGAGCGATGCCATGTCATGAGGAACGTAGCTGATGGTTTGTGATTTTGATTAGCACAGGGATAAATAGAGATTAATGTTGGGAGCGTGAGGGTTGGGGACCAAAATACGTACAACGTGTACATAAACAAGCTACCCTCATACGACTCTCCGCCTAGACTATTCAGGTAGCATGAATGCTGGTTTAGTAGCGGGCTACAGTGGATTGGATCCTGATAGTCCCATGTCCCGTCCTCAAGTCGCGGCTGGAGACACCCTACAAAGCCAGTGTCTGTCCCGTTGATTGCACTTGTCTGGTTCTCCTTGTACACATTTTTCCAGAACTTCGCTCTCTCCATGTATTTGGCATAATCGCCATGATGGCCCAGGGCTTTGGACACCAATGCAATACAAAAGTCATTATATGCATATTCGACCGTACGCGACACGCTACGGGTGCGAAGCCCGTTACCAATTGGCATACCATCTGACGGAATATATCCCAACTTCTTCCAACTTTCAAGCCCCCCACGGCCTTCAATCTCCCAGTCATTTGGGGTGGATTCTGCGTCCTTTAGCAAGGCCTGGTACCCGGTTTCCCAATCAATGCCGGGAAGTCTCTTGACAAACGCGTCCGCAAGGACGACATCTGCGTTGGAACCTCCCTGAGTGAACCCCTTACAAAGCGACATGCGACAGTCGGGAAGAAAACCTTCATGCCGGTAAATATCAATCAGGCTGCGAACGAAGAGAATCTGAGACCGGGGATCGAGAATTGTCAGGAGTGGATGTATGCTACGAAATGAATCCCATATGCTGTGTACGCAGACCATCAGAATACAAATGATTTTCCCATCTCCTTCAAGTAAAAGGAAAAGGAGGGGGAGAGGAAACAAAAAGAGGCAAGTAAACATAACCCGGCTACCTACCAGTAAAAGCTATCGTAATAAGGCTCGTCACTTTTCCATAGAGGATTCTCACCGGTGTAATCCTGTGGGCTGATCATTGTTCGATATATCCCACTCCAGAATATAACCTCCATATCCTTAGAAACACCTCCCGCGTTTATCTCTATGACTTCGAATTTCTTTGCCCATGCGTCCCTAGCTGCTGACATGGTGCGGTCAAAGTCGAAGTCGGGTTGTTCCCTCTCAGCATTTGAACAAGCTCTGTCAGTGTTTATAAAGCTAGTCCCCACGCGTACAAGTATCTTTCTGTCTTTTGGCGTACGGAATTGAACAAATGCGCCCAACGGCACGTTACCCTCCCCAGCATCGGGATCAGATTCTGATATAATCGTAGGCGTAGGTGCGCCACCTTTGCTGCTTGTGTATATTCCCGCTTGGCGGATGTCTGCGCTCCTAAAATCCATGCAGAAATATAAGAAATACGACCCTTTCCCGAAACTGGGATTAAACGATCCACTTCCAGTAATACGACCTGTTTTAGGGTTAACAGAAACTTTGCTCTCTCTGCGGGTGTCGGACAGGTCATCCAAGTCAACCAAGATGAATGGGCTTAGTGGGACATTTTGATCGGGGAATGGCCTTTTCGGAAAAGTGAACTTGTACAGAGCGCTGCGGTTGGTTACGGTCATCTCTGTGGAAATCGAGTTATTGAGGGTGATCCCAAAGAACCCAGGGCGGGCCTTGACACTGCCCTTTATCCAGCTAGCTCCACGTTCCTTTTTGTTGAATATACATTTTTCGACCGCATCGTCCGGGCAGGCTGCGTGGGCGAAAATCGGGAAACTTCCAAAAGATGAGCCCTAGAACTCGCGGATTGTGGTTAGAATCTTGAACCACGTCCAGATGTGGACAGATTTCCCGAGGAACTGTATCGCCATGAACAGTCCCGTGTCCTATCAAAAACGGAGCTCATCGATAATTCCATGCGTGACGCACTTGAAGAGGAAGAAAAAAGATTATTTGTCATACCCCTCCAGTGCCCGAGTCGTGCATATGGGAGAAGCCCAGAACGACCGTCGCATTCGAGTCAAAACCGCCCTGAGTCTCTCCATCCGTATCAGGCCCTGCCTTCACCATTCCTAGTAATCACATTAGGACACAGAATTCCCAGGCTCTTCGCGAGTACGTAGAACAATACATACCAAATGGTAAAGTTGCCCCTGGGAAAACATGGCCTGCAGTTAAGACAGTTAGATCTTATATGTCCGCAAAATGGGAAGTCAGAGCAGGCAACAGCCAGGAAAACCAACCGCCATTGATGGTCCCTATAAGTGGATTGACTAGATCCAAAGCCCGTTTCGACCTCGGACTCCCAGCCGCCGCAGGGCTTGTCAGGAGTGAAACGCATAATGACAAGATAAGAGCCAATGTCAAGCCGACGCTCAGCCACGCCATAATCAAACGTGCCCGGCGGCTTTTCACAAGTAGTCAAATGTTCATCTCGAGAAACTGGTACGCAAATAGAGATAACTCTGTTATATGCAAGATAGAACTGCTTGGGGGTTAGTTATTAACTAATGAACGAGCCCGGCTGGGGCTGGATCAGGATTATATATATACGTATAGATAACTACCATCAGAGATCGGATTTAAAACCCAACCACCCAAGTTGCGCCCTTGTTGAACGACAGTAACGTTAACGTTACCTAACAGTGGGTAATATTTCCCGACTATTGGTGGGCTTCTCTGGCATCCAGCTCCCCAACAAGGTCATTCGAAAGTGCTTCCTTGCCTGCATAGAAGTTTAGTAGTTAGTTACAGAGTAACTAACTAACTAGTTAACTTAACTTGAGAGGCGATCGCCCATGCAGACTTAACCACGGCGTCCGGGTGAAGGCCACGGATTATTTTGCACCTCTCGCAAGGATTGTTTTCCTTCTCTGGGTCTGACTGCAATCGAGAGCTGAATCGCGCACAGGCCTTGGAAACGGGGTTTCTCTTCAAGTCACTAGGGATGACTCCGTACCTTAACGGAAATACGGAATTTGAGGGCGCGCACCACCCCTGAAAGTTACTTAACTACTGTATCAGTTCATATAATTTATAATTCTTGTCAAACTTGCATTCTTTGTACGGAGTAATGTTAAAACTGATCTTAATTAATCTCCATTTGGAGAAGACCTGCCCTTCACCTCACCTATAGAGAGTGACTTCTGAACATGGATTTTGCGGAAGATTGCACCAGAAGTGGCTGAGTGGGGTTCGGGCCCGAGAACTTATCATTAACTTACCTATTACGTAGATGTAGATTGAGACGTCGGGGAAGATTGCTAAATATGAGAGGATGGAGCACGAAAAACGAGAAATGAAGTTGATGAAGATATAGTTTAGATAGTTTAGTAGCTGGGACATTGGATTCCTGTACCTGAAACCGTGGAATTTAGTATTGTGCTTAACTTCTATCCATGGCACACATCAACCATTGACTTTTGGGGCGTGTTAAGAATTATTTCAGGGATCCAATGGTTTGCAACAGAGGGGAAATAACAGGAATGTATGACATATGAACAACCATCTGCAATACAATGCATACATATATGTGTACACACTGGTGTTGACGGATGAAAAAGAGGAGAAAATGATAAAGAAACACTTCACAGTATTCATATTTATTTCGTTGACCCAGGCTATCTAATATAACCATTCTGCTGCAAAATAATAGCACAACATCCCACAGAATCATTGAGTAGTTCTAAATTATATATTAACTAGTTACATAAGAAACTATATAATCATTTCACCATATCATCTTCATACACTCAGTTAAAAATCCCTCCCTACCTCACCTAAAAACGACTCACAGTAAAACTCCGCCCGTCACAACATCCGCCAGATTTAAAGCTACGTGTACAATTCCGTAACGTCATTAAACGGATGAAAACACGCAAAGAATCCCACCCAATGCCAGTTGACCCTTCTATATCTATGCTGGTACACTAAATACTGCGGGAACCCGACTCGACATACATTTCTATCAATGCCCATACGCACTTGCTATATCCGCCTTATACTTCTCATGGATCGCATTCCTATTCAGCTTCTCCGTCGCTGTCGTCAGGCCCTAAAATATCACACGTATCATCAGCGTGCTCCAACAAACTGGTGGGGGGTAGTTGCTGGAGGGAATGTCTAGTACTGGGGGAGGGAGGAGGCAAACCAGAATGCATCTCCCACACGGGGCAAGTCTACACAAGAAAAATTAAAAAAAAAAACAGTGCACTCACATTCTGGGGTGTCCAAAGCTCATCCACAAGGACAACGCCATCAATAATCTCAAGTCCCGTAAGACCGGCCTTCCGCCCAGCAGCTTGCATATTCTGTAGCGCGACCTGTCGCAGTTTCTTGTCATGCACCAGCTCATGAAGCCCCTGGACTTTGACGATGCCGTTTTCGGCAGCTAGCTTTTTCAACGCGGGCTCGGCAGGGACCACGATTGCAATTGGCTTGGCTTTATCTGGTGCTGCGTAGACGCAGATGTTCGCCACAAAACCCACTGAACGATATACCGATTCGAGCTATGGTTATCCGTTAATGAATACTGTATCGAACGCGTTTGGAAAATTTGTAGCGTCTGCTCACCTTTTCCAGTGGGATATATTCCCCATTCAAAGTCTTGACCAGACTCTTCTTGCGGTCAATTACCTTAAGATGGCCGTTTCGATCCCACTCCCCAATATCTCCCGTTTTAAACCAGCCATCAGAGGTCATGACTTGGGCCGTTCCGGCCTCATTGTTCAAGTATCCTTCCATGACGCTATTCCCGCGAACCCAAATTTCACCTTGGGGAGGAGTTGAGTTGGTGAAATACCCTGCATCCGGGAAATCAACCAACTTGATCTCCACGCAAGCGGGGATATCACCTAAGGTTTCGCCCTGCCAACCCCAGGGATCGGAAACAGATGTCATCCTACGAGATTTCGTCGGTTAGATTTTTGTCTCTGCAATGCAAGGTATCACTCGATATATATGTGTCTTACGCTGTCGTTTCAGTTAGGCCATATCCGATAACCATAGGTGCTATAACCAGGGAGATGAATTCCTGTGTTTCATGAGCAATAGGCCCGGCTCCATTCATGACGAACCGGAGTCTACCTCCAGTTGCATCAATGATCTTTTTGAAGATCACTGAGTTTAGAATCCCAGACCCTCCCAATTGGCGATTCGTAAGCTGGCGCTTAAGGTAGAATGCTGTCCAGAAAAGGTTCTTCGAGATTAACCCGGCTTGTTCAACTTTCATAATGACGCCCTTCCTCACGGTTTCCCACACAGCGGGTACTCCAACCATCAAGGTTGGTCTGAGCTCTCGTATGTCGCCCTTGCAGTTTCGCATCGATGTGTCTGCAATCGTTTTCGGGCTTCCGTAACCCATTCGACAGCCCCAGAATAGCGCTGCATGCTCAAATACGAATTCAAAAATGTGAGCCAAGGGCAGGAATGTTAGGACAACATCGCTAGGACTGATTTCACGTCCAACCAAGGAATCTATCCCAGCAACTATTGCACTCCAAATCAGCACATGAAAAATGAAAAAAAAAAAAAAAAAAAAAAAAAATTTTTGAAGAAATAAAATAAAAATAAATAAAATAAAATGATGCAACAATTAAAAAGTTGTGTTTTCTTCCATACCTGCAGCAATCACATGTCTGTGCTTCAGGGGAATACCCTTTGGGGGCCCCGTGGCACCGGATGTATACATAATCATGCCGGTGTCATCCGCATCCGGAGGAACCGGACCCACCGGATTCTCTTCTCCAAGTTTCCTGAGCTCCTCGAAGCTTAGCAGAGTTTTACCGGGGTGTTCAGCTCTGAAGGCGTTTAACGTCTCCTGCTTGAGCAGACGCGTATTGTTGTAAATGACGACTGTGATACTTTGAGCGTCGCCCAACAGTTTGATGAGTGGTTGTAAAAGTTGTGGATCTGTGTACAAGGCTCTGGAATTGGCTTCTGTCATTGTGTGCCGCAGCCCTTCTTCGCCAAGGGTGTCGTACGAGGTAACGATGGACATGGACTGTGAGATTGCCCCATGGGCAGCAGCAAGCCAACGATCACTGGTACCAGCGTAGAGGTGGAGCCTATCGCCCTTGCCCAGGCCCAGCTTCCTTAGGCCCGCTCCGATCTGTAGGGTCAATCTCTCGTACTCATTGAAAGTTATGAAGGTGTAGCCGCTCAATTCAAAATATGTCCAGTCTTTGTCCACATCCCGCTCCTCGCCGTTCACCATCTTCTTAACCTTTCTGGTCTCGACGTGGACATCCAGAAGCTCCCGTGAGCCCATACATTTTGCATTGCCAAATTTCTCAGCCCCGCGCCTGACAATATCATAGACAGTATTGATCCCTTCCTCGGGCCGGGCAAGCAATTTATCTTTGTAATTCACATTTCGACGAGGGATTGTTTCTCCATTCACGGGATCGTAGCCGGGAGCATCGACAGTAAACGGGGTTTTCTGTAAAGTGGCACGTCGACGGAGAGCATTAGTAAGTCTGGTATTCCTCTCAGCCATGTTTATATTAATCGTAGAAGTTTAGGCATGTCATATATTGCTAGAGTCAAAAGGACACGCAAAGAACCCAAGGAAGCATGCCGGAAGAGATATTGGAAGGGACACGACTTCCATTTTATAATCTGGCATGATACCTAGGTATAAAGGAGTGTACGTGCTGTTCATGTCCATGGGACACACGGGCATTTGCAAGAAAGGCCGGCAGCAGAAGGGGGAAAATACGAGCAACTCACAGCGAAGCTCAGCGACATAGCGTGAGCTCAAAGCATATGACACCGAGGCACACAGAACGGGAGCTGGAAAGCATACACCAATTGCTGAAGTGAAGTGATTGGGGTAAAAACGATAGATACTGGATAGCGGTGTCCTTGACTTCTTGGAACCTTGGGCTTGAATGGCTAAATGAGAGGAGGAGTAGGATGGAGAAAAGTGGAAAGCTGAAGTTTGAAAATGACGTTGACGTTGGGGTTGCGGACCACAAACTGTAGGGACCGAGGGCATGCATCATCATCATCACATCACTCAACTTAAGTTACCCGTGCGAAAAATATAGCCTCACCTGACCTAAACTGATTTAGTAGCTTGCTGTGCATTCGTATGTGCATAACATTGCCGTATTGTGCAGTATTTATCACTGACCAAGAGTTGCAATTGATAGCTGCATCTAGAGTAGCTATATTAGCTCTTGGTGCCCGAAGCGCAGAGGAAGACTGGGATAAATTAATTCACTGAGATTTAGGTAATTTGACCTGGAAGGATAGATACTTATTTAAACGCGGGTGAGTTACAGCCGAGTTAAACTACCCCGCAAATAAATCTACGTCTGTCTTAAATTTCTCCTCCAATGATTAATTTATTTCCCTATCCACAGGCATTGTTGATTATGTTCCTCTTCTATGGTCTTCTAACTAGTGATGTTTGGAATATATCAATCAATGTCTTCTATCATGTGAATACCTGCCAGGCCTATCTATATCTTCTGGTAGCTACCGACCCGGCTACCCTTACATCAGTCTGGACGAATTCGTTATCAAGCTGTTTTTCGGGCATCCAACTTCTCGTTGGTTTCACAATGCATCACCATTTTATGATGCGCTGCCATGTTTTAAAATGAACGGCATTACAGAGCGAATAACTAACTACCCTTTGCTAATTCTGATCGCCATCAATAGTTAGTTAATCTCACTACCAACTTTGATTGCAAGTCAGGGCTTTTCCTCTCATGCCAGAACATCCTCCCCGGGCAAGGATGTTATAGATGTTATTTTATTTCTCACTTGATTGACACCCATGGCACAATCTAGCTAGCTACAGCTACGGGATATTGAGACGATGAATTGTTCCCGATGTAGTGATCTTTCAGTCCTCTCTCATTCCTGGAGCCCCTTTATCAAGAATCCCTCTTCTGTAGTTAAACCGTTCTGTGTTGAGTAAATACTTCAATCTCCCATAACTACCTGCCATCTTGAAAGCTCCATCCACCCATAACCATCAATCGTGTCTTATTCTGTCATGACTCCAAGCAAGACACAGGGTCCCTGCAATGATGATCTTTGAAGCTCTGCCTGAAAGGAAGTTAAACTTTACCGCAAATCCATGCGTGATAAAATTCATGGATTCTTTAGCCGTTCAAGTTAAACATGAACCCTCGAATAACGATGAAGCTGTTCTGGAAGTCAATGACTAGTTACCCACAGGAGGCTTGATCAAAATGACTTCAAAAATGTTCCGAGGGTGTCCATTTTCAGTCCATCTCTCATTTATCAGCGACCTCTTCTCTTTTGCAGTCGACGATGAAGATCACGGACAATCAGAAGTCACAGACAAGCATTCATAAGATGGGGTTCATATATAGTTCACCCCAGCGATGAATATCTGATATCTGACGTCCCGGCCCGGAGATCCTTTACCGAAGAGTCACGGAACACGGGGTCAGCTAAATAACTAACTAACCAGTTAATTAATTAGTTACAGCATTAGCTAGCTAGTTCAATGAAACGAATCACCCAGAATTTAACATTGATTAGCTGCTTTTAAGCTAGCGGTTGTGCAAGGATCATTCACACTCATCTGACGGACCCCCCCCCCCCCCCCCCAGAGAGACATTTGAGAACAACTTCATCCGGCGGGAGTCGATCAGAGCGGGGTCGAGTTTACATCTTGTTTGCCTCGACTGCTCTTCTCTTCTTTCAGGTACCAAGTTTCTGAAAGCTCGAGGACAGAGATACGGATGAGCCTCGTCGTAGAAACAAACATCCTCCCCAGCCGTCTGAGATCCGGGCATCTCCTGCTCGCTCGCTCGGGCTCGCTGCAAGGCCCAGAAGCTTATAGTTATTAGAGACATCTTAAATACGTTCTCTTCTCCACCCAATTGCCGTTAACAATATTTAGGATGAAACCAGATGCCAAAAAATGTCCGACAAACCTACTCTGCAATTCTTACCCGGAGAAATCCTCCATATCATACATTCCTTCCTCTCCGCTGGTTCCAAATTAACCTTCTCCTTGACATGCAAACGTTTCTATAACAGCTTCTTCGAAAACGTTCCTCAATCCTACCTCTCAGACCCGGTCAAGCGCCAGGAATTCCAGCAGATCGTTCAAAACTCGGCTGTAATAGATGATCTCAAGGTTTACGAATTTATGCTGGCCCGCGAACTCTGCGGATTCAAATCCGGCCCCAAACTCTGTTGCAGTGCGTGCAGCTCCACCCATCTCCCGCTCTTCTTCCACCCCCGCGACCTTGCCAAACACTCCAATGAGCGCGTTTGCCTCAAACACATCAAGGGCCTCTGGATAGAACCGGGCAAATGCTTCAGTTTCGCGGATCTGCATTTGTCCTGCGGCCCGATAGACATGCTCTACAAGGTGCAGACCCCCCGCTGTGCAGCGTTGAGCCTGGACGACAGATACGTATACAGGTATCTCCTGTGGACGCATTACGATATCCTAACCTTGCCCAGGGATGAACGTGCGTCGAAAGAACAGATAGCAAAGATCCTTGATGGCTTCGATCTCCCCACTTGTCCGCATTTGCGCCTCAGCGACCGCATGATCATAGATCTCTACGACAGCCCGCTCAACACAGTCGAGGAACCGCTCAACCAGGAACGCCCACCAATCTTCGACCCAACCGATATCCGCGCAAAATGCACGTTCCCATGCTGCCTCACTTCGGTTTGCTGGACCACGCACACCAGCGTCGAGGACCCGCAGTGGAAAACCATCTACCTCCATGTTCTCCGCAAGATTCGAATTAATACCGCCATAGACCGCGTGTGGTTGGCGCAGTTGATGCTCCCCAATGATGCCCTCTTGAGACAACAGCACTGGGACGATTGTTTCCGGTGGAAATCGCATATGCTTGCGATCGAGAGGGAGAGATATGAGAACGAGGCTAGGGAAGGTGCTGACGGTGGCGGTGGTGATGGGTTTGCTACCGGTGCCTGCAGTGAAGCATACCTTGCTCGGGAAACCCTACTCCGCCAGCGCGAGGATGTCGTCAACCGCCTATTCCACCCACGCCGTCCGCGTAACGGCCAGGATCTCGTACGTGGGCTGGGGGGTAAAATCAAAATCACATCTCCGAACCCGATAAATAATATACCTATGGACAGTGTCAATGGTGGCAACGAGCCAGAGATACCCACCCAAATTACTAGCAATCAACGCCCCTGGACGCCCCCGGCCTCACCGCTGATAACGAGCGAAATGTGCCGTGATATATTCTTAGAGAATCCTTCTCTTCCAGAGTCCGCCACCCCCCTTTCAGATATGCGATATTCTGGGGGCGAGCTCTTCTCACCGTTATTCAACGCAGACGAATTTCAGCGATATGGCAAACGGGGCCCCCAGGCTGTCATTGCTGAGGAACGTAGGAAGCAGATGTCATGGTTTGGACGGCTGTTTACCTTCAGCCTCTGGTAATGACGGATAGGAAGAGATACATGCATGCATTTGATGGGTTTTCCCCTTCTTTCTTTTGCCAAGCAGAGCAGCATCTACTACCTAACTCGTTGAGTTAATTCCTACAACCAGAATAAGTCATATTTAAAAGCCAATATAAATAGTTTCATGTGCATACGCAAAATTTCTTATCAAGGGACTACATGCATGATACTAAAAGAAAAGAAAAAGGAAATCCTTAAAAGATACCGACGCGAGCAGGATTCGAACCTACGCCTCCGAAGAGAAGAGATTAGTAATGATTGACTTTGTCAGTCAAATTCTAGTCTCTCGCGTTAACCACTCCGCCATCGCGCCAGCTGATAATGTGATGTCAGTGGGAAAAACTACTTGATGGTTGTGCCTCTATCCACAAACGGACCACGTATCATGATTTTACCCTTGGGTCATGTAAATATATGATCACTGGACAGAATTTCTCATTTAATTTTAACTGTATCGCCGGGTTTAAATAAATCGAAGGATGCTGCTGCATCCGACGTGGAGCAAGTGGAACTGTATGTATAGTTGCCCGGATAACAATACTGGTGGGCACACACAGAACAAGAGCAGATGAAAGAGAAATTATAAAAAAGAAGAAATGAATTGAACAACTGGCTCAAACCTCTCCAACGCCTAAAAGATATGGCTGCGGTAAAAAAGAATATGCAACTTGATGACAATGCTCTAAGTAATCACAGATTAGCTGCCGGATCCCACAACCCCTCGAAAAAGTGAATGCTACCTCACTTACCACTGTTCCAATCGCTTTGAAAAAGCGAATCGCAACCGTAGCAATACAATGAACAAAGGAGGGAATGGACGTGCAAAAGCCACAGACAAGAATTCCAAAGTACCAACGGAAACCCCTTGGTGATATTCTCCATATGCACAGAGAAATTCTCCTGTTACAGAATTCCATTTTTACTGTCCACTCCATAAATCCGCTCCATTGTCTGAATAATTTCGCTCTCACTCGTCCGTTCCACGTCTGACCTCATCTTTTCGCCCTTACGACGAATGTTGCGCGTCTTCCTGTCGTTTGCCAGGATTTTCGCGAACTTGGACTTTTCTCTGATGACGGAGCCCTTCCAGTAGAAGATGTAGATTGGAATGGTAACCATGAATGAGATAATACCCATAATTGTCGAGGGCCATTCAAGCTGATATTTGGTGCCGATTGTTTTGTACACTAAGAAAAGCAGGAAGTGAAATGTGTTAGAAAAAAGACTAGAATTATAAACGACCATTTGGAATGTGTACAAAAACGTACATGGCGTTGAATACATTGCCGCAATTCCAGCAAGGAAATCCCTTGCTAAGGCATTACCACCCGTCGCAGATGCCGAATATGGGCCGTAGCTCGCGACCATATAGTCGATTGTGGCCATGTAAATGCAATACTACATGATGATGCCCATCAGATTCTAAGTCGCAGTGGTTTTTGTATTGCGGATAGAATCACAACTTACGTTTGCAACGGCAATTAGAAGAGAGAATATCATAGGGGCAATCCAGTGAATGCGAGGTGGCCCCAAACTTGACCATGCAAACCCGAACAAACCGATAGTTTCAAGAGGGGCAGCTGTACAGAAAACCAATGTTAGTAGTATACGACACATGTGTCGAAAGCCATGAACAACAATAACAAGGACACAATCATACTGAATAAGAGCCACCATAGTCTTGACTCCGGTTCAAGGATGCTGGGATCTTTCCTTTGAATCTTTCGGTGCTTTATCATCACAGGAAGAAATGATAAATAGGCAATGAAGTAACCAAGGAGGATACTATGCAGAAAGTTAACGATGAATAAAAAAAGTTTGGCTCCTTTTGAATGAACCGAGGGGTATACTCACGGAATAAAGGCCAAGCCAACTTGTATCGTATTGAATCCCCATTGGCCGTATACCGGCTGGTAAGACTCGAGGAAAGTGAAAATCAAGGCGTCGCTGAAGCCGCTGAGAATTGATAGACAAAATACAATAGGCTCGCGCACAAACATGCTAAACGGCCGGGCCCAGATTATCGCAACTTCCTTCAGCGTAATTCCCGCACCCTGGATTTCACCGGGACCATATATATGTAGTTCTCCTGCCTGACGCCGTCTTTTGGCCTCTCTGTCCAGAAGGACGGTAACCCGTGTTTCCGGCACGAATAGAAGGTGAGCAGCTTGAGCGACGCCTCCGAAAATGAGTTGAACCCAAAAGTTCCATCGCCAATCGAGGTAAGCTTCCATGAAGCCACCGACGATTGGTGCTATAACAGATCCTGCAACTGAGGAGAGAACAATGAAGGCAACTGCAAACTGTTGGTCATCGGGCTCCCACATGTCCGCAATCATCCCCAGTGTCACAGAACCACCAGCAGAGGACAGACCGCCAAGGAATCGGCCCACCACGATGGTGTGGAAATTTTTCGCCAGAGCGCAAGGTATTTGCCAGATGTTCACCAATGATAAACTCAGCTGCATGACGGGGTATCGGCCCAGCTCTTCGCTCCATGGAGCCCACAGCTCGCTCCCAAACGCATAGGCGACCAGAAATATCATCTGGCCCACTCTCGCAGCTTGCTCAGAAATGGAGAAGTGGAGTGAAAGCGGGGTGATGGCATTGGCATAGATGCTGGTATTGAAGTTCATGGATAATTGGACGAAAAAGACGACACTAAGAATTGTCCATTTTTTCCAACGGGGGAAACCGAAGCCCAGCTTTCCATAGCAGTCACTTTCAAGAAGCAGAATTCTTTCAGAACTTTGAGATTTTGTTGCAGGAGGTGATGTGGGCGATGGAGGCGGTGGCAGCGGCGGTGGTGGGGGGGATATTTTAGGCTTTTCATTATCATGAAGTGGAGTGTCATCGTTCCCCTTCACACCCGGCGGGACTGAAGAAAACGAGGATACATGTAGAACATCGTGTTCAGCAGAAGACGGTATCCTGGCGCGTAAACTGGGGTTGAATCTCGGGATGAATCTGGGGTATGTTTTGTGGCGCATATGCAACCGAACACGGTCCTGGACAGGCTGGGTGCCAGGATTGGAAGCGGGCATCCCGTAAGAATGGACAGTCAATAGATAAACCACAGAATTGAACCGTGGAACGAAAACATGGAAAAGAACATAACAAAAAAGAAGAAGAAGAAGAAGAAGAAGAAGAAGAAGAAGAAGAAGAGTAGAATGCAACGAGCGCAAAAGGGTAAGGAAGACGAAAAAACAATAACAATAAAGAAGTGAGCAGCAGCAGCGGCAGCGGCAGCGGCAGCAGCAAGCAGCAGGAGCAAGGGAAGGACTCCCACGGCCACGATGCCTTGCTGCTGCTACTGTTAAGGAAAGATGGAAGCAGGGGCCCGCCGCTCCAGTGATACATGGAGGAATAGTCGTTGATTGATACCAGCTGTAGGAATGGATGTGCTGCAGCAGACAGAATCTCCGACGAGGTAGTTATTTGAAGAGAATCGTGGCAGTAAACTAACTTCCTAGTTATGTTAGCACAGCTACAACATGATTCTTCTTCTTCTTCTTCTTCTTCTTCTTCTTCATGTGAATATTGGAGTGACCCCTGATATTCCACCCGGATGACGTAGGTCCAAGTTGTTTTATAAAGTTGATCGGGGGTGGAATCCCTTGGCTGACTAACTAACCGGCGAGTGGTGGGGAGGGGGGGGGGGTTCTTCAGCCTCCTCCAATCCTGCAGAGACCCAGAAGTTCAACTTCACAACCACTTAACATAATTACGACTAGGGGATGACTACCACAGTTACCTTCTCAGACCGCACACCAACACACATCTGGGCTGGGAAAAACTTTATCTTCTGCCCTGGTTTTCTTTTTCTGTCACCATGCAATTCAGCGTTAACCTAGTCAATCAGTTGCCGTGTTCTCGTCCCGGACTCGGCTAACTAACTAGTTGCTAACGCCCAGGCGCTTTCGTCATCAATTCTGATGAGGATGATATAATTATTAGGACAGAGTATTGAAGAGGGAGATGGCCAAAACGCCCGTCTAGATCCACTCCCAAGGCTCCGTCTGACAATGATGTTGACCAGAGAGTTACGATGCAGGTAGCGGCCGGCGTGCATCCCGGATGGGGTAACCTGGCCCTAGTGGAATCTGCATTACTATATGTGTGATTTTATATGGTTGCCTCCCCCCCTCCCCCCCTCTTGGCTATATTTACAGGCATCGTATGTTTCCCCATATACGCCAATAATGTTGAAGAGATAAAAAAAAAAATACTAAGCGGTGTCGCAGGACTTTTGCAAACCATGGTTCACCGCATGAATTGCATTCTAAGGATGAACAAGCTTGTTCTCTTTCTAGAAGCTCGACGGATGTGCTCTTGTCATACAACCAATTTTTATATCGACTAATGTATAAAGTGTGGGGAAACACAGGCTAGCAACAACTAACTACACTAATTTAAAAGTCTGGGGTAAAAAAATCCTTGAAACACTGGTCCACTGACAACGTGGTTAAAAAAAATTGCCGGATCATCCATCGCGTTCATGGGAACGTGGTGGCTTGAAGTCCAGACATGTTCCACACTCGATATTTCGGATTCACTATTGACGGGGATTGCCCAAACTAAACCCTCATGTGCTCCAGGGGCTAAATCAACCGCGAATCCATGGCCGGATTCCCCTCAGGAAGTGATGCCTTTTGTCTCGCATTGATCAAAATATCTTCACACCCCGTATCCATCGCCAAGAAAAAACCAGCTTCTGCTGCCAGGGATAGCATACGGCTGTCAAGCTATTGTTCAGAGCCGAACTTGGAAGAGCTATTGTGCATGTACATTCCTAGGTATCTATTGAGGAGCCTCTAAGATCGCCAATCGCTCCTCAGGACTGTTCGACGGGGATTATTGGCCTCCCTCAGCCATAAAACAAAATTCATCCCCAATTCCGCACTCCATTCCGCTTAGATCTCTAACTCCTTTCGGTACCTCCTCTCGGCCGAAGCACATATAAGTGATATATGTGTGCACGTACGTCGTGTGGGGTGAGACTTACAATAACTCCTATATAACTTGTCGAATCTCGCCATTCTTCTTGGGGAAATACTCGTCCTACTTCGTGGGATACTGTACCCTTCCGAACAATCCAATACACCATAGTGGGCGATATTCGCATAGCTTTCCGCCATGGAGATGCGCAATGATGAAGAGGTAAGTTTATATCCTCATTTGCCCCTTTTCACACTCTCGCATTTCTCTTGCGTACTTTCCCCTTGACTCCTATAAGTTCTCAAAATTTTGAATATGCTGGTTTGGTATTTGGAAATTCTCTAATATCAATTTCCGTGGACAGACACTCCGACA